ATAGGTTGTTTAGGGGTACAGAAAAAAGTTAGTTATTATGGCAGAAAAAATAATATATTATGTATCACAAACTAATAGTATTAAAAAATTATTAGATAAAAAATGTTCCTTACAACAATCACAACTTTATTATACATTTTTTCTTTTAGGTTTTTTTCCTTTAATTTAAAGTTACAATATGTAAAATTAACAATATGGTTACTCACTAAATTTCTTAAATGAGGGGTACAATCTAGAGATATGACATGTCACGAGGTACAATCTAGAGATTTGACATGTCACGGGGTACGCTAATGAAAAAAGGTTGGGAACCACTGCTCTACTGTATTTCAAACCTACAACAGGATTAGGAAACTACTCTCAAGGAGTTATAAACAGCTGTGTTGTACATGTTCTAATAATGTAACTGTTACATTGATATCCTAAGAGAGCTACATATTAAAGTGGTAGAAAACAATAAGGGTTGAGCATGTTTGTATTCATATCTAGTAATAAAGTTGTGCTCCACATATAGTCTAATATCATTCCATCCACCAAGTTAAACAACAAAAGTAGATTAAGTGATTAACTTTCAGGCAACAGTATATGAAAATTTAACAACTTATTCTTCCATAAATAAAATATATTGGTTAAAGTTATTTTAATATCAGGAGGAAAAAAAACAATTTTAAAATAAAACAAGTATTTTTGTTTCTAGTGAGTAACAATTTAAATTTATAATTATTGTTAAAATTCAAATTTCTGTAAAATCAATATATTTTAATGACCTACCTATAACTCTTTCACCTAAGCCACCAAGTTCTAAATATGCATTATTAAATGCTTCTTTCATTTCTTCATCTAATACTTTTTCTTTATCATTAATGAATATTGTTGAGCATCTATCAAGCACCCTCTCTGGTGCACCTTTCATACAAAGAAGATAACTAGGGTCAGTAGTATCTTCTGTTTCATGAACAGTTACCTACAGAGAAATTATTTGGATAGATAATATTACGTATTCAAAAGATCATATGTAATATTATTATTGAAATAAATACTTACGTGATATTTATTTGTTGAATTGAAGGGAATTTCACAAACTTTAGGATTTCGCTGGCGATAAGCCATTACATTTGCTATTGCAAGTTCCATACATTTTAAGATAGCTGATTCAGAAGCATCACCAGTGCAATCTCTAACAAATGAACATTTTAAGTATGAATTAAAGTAAAAACAACAACAACAGTAACACCTTATATTAACCTTTTTAAGATGGGAATATTTTCTTGACCAGGTTTAAATTCTGCTCTACTACATAAACATGCTACACGAGATAATGCTTTCCAGCCAGGCGAAGTTTTGTCATACTGGAGTCCTAAAGTAAAATTTCCAATTTACATTCATTTAAAAGAAAAAAAACATTTTAAATAAATAGAATTACCAGACTGATCTTCTGTTGTATCTGCTTCTATAATTTGATTATCAAACCACATATGAGCTACAGTCATACGATTCTGAGTGAGAGTACCAGTTTTATCTGAACAAATAGTTGAAGTTGAACCTAAAGTTTCTACAGCCTCTAAATTTTTTACAAGGCAGTTCTTAGATGCCATACGTTTAGCAGTTAAAGTTAAGCATACCTAAAAACAATAAGAAGTACAATCCTTAATCCACAATTTAATTAAATTATACTTGAGATTAAAATAATACTTACTGTAACTGTTGCTAATAATCCTTCAGGTACATTTGCAACAATAATACCAATTAAGAAAATAACAGCATCAAGCCAGTAATATCCCAAAATAAATGCAATGACAAAAAATGAAACACCCAAAAATACAGCAACACCCGTGATAATGTGAATAAAATGAGCAATCTCTCTGGCAATTGGTGTATCACCCATTTCTAAACCAGATGCTAAATTAGCAATTCTACCCATAACAGTCCTATCTCCAGTATTGATAACAACTCCACGTGCAGCACCTGTAATAATAAACTTTATATTCTAATTGATAAATACATATTTAATATGGCTGAAGTTATAGTAGTACTAAATTCTGTGTGAAAAAATATAATACATTTTTAAATAAGCAGATCAAAACTTAGAAAGCATACAGCAATGTCAATATTCTTTGAAAGACAAATTATTATATATTAAGAGATTATGTTAATTCATTAGAGATTGCAGCCGAAGTTTTCATCTGTAAAATGTGAACTTTGAATGTCAAGTGCTGCTTACAAGATAGCGGTGCTCGATGTTCGATGTTGACGCTTTAAAGATGAAAACTTCAACCGCAACCTCGCTATTATCACTCAGTCTTAAGTTTTCATTTAATAAATATATCAAATTAACAACAAAAATTATGTTAACAACAATTACAATTATTATTGCAAAAATAGATTTGGCATTAACTTATCCTTAAGTCTGACATTAAACACAAACAATGATTTTATTTATACTGGAAACAAAACTGAACTAAGAAATTAAGTTGATATATAACTTCAGCAACAGAGAATGAAGTGAATTATTAAAGAGAAATAATGAAATCAGAAATTTTCAAATTATGACTATAGTCTTCGAATTTAACTGAAATCCACATTATATTATTGATAATTTATATTAAAACACAATAAAATTATATATATATTTGTTTAAGTTTGACCAGTTAGAAATATCTTTTTCTTAATCTAAAGAATAATAAAACTTTCTAAAAATTTATAATTTAGTATATATAAGACATGGGTAAATGCAGCTCTTGCTGAAAATGTTAATTTCTGCTTTTTATTATTATTTTTACAATTTTATTTCCACAATTTTATGAAAATATGTTTATTAAAAAAATTCAATATTTGTTTTATATTATATAATAAAATTGCAGTACAGAACTGTGGTACAGAATAAAGTAATACAGAACTCAGAACTGCGGCTCCTATGCATTTTGCAAAACCTACATTTCGGCTCCCACTGAACTTTTGCTTGTCCACCCTTGGTGTATATATATATATATATATACACACATATACATACATATATATACGGGGTCTTACTGTGAGTGTATATACACACACACACAGTAAGACCCTGTTTAGCACTGCCTCGCTTAACACATCTGCTCAAAGCCTACAAAAAGCTCAAAATTTACGCTGATTTAAATTATCACAGCATTTCATTGATTCGTACATAATACGATTATTTGTGAACACGAACCAATCAGCAAAAGGTGGCAAAAAGGTGTACTTTCTTTAAATCTATGTTTGTTTGATGCAATTTTGAAAAACTATATCATCATGGATGCAATAGGAAATATTGACTTTGCTTAGCAAGAATTAACTGATAAATGCACAGACAAAGTGTGGAAGATGTTTTGGCTGAAGGTATCCAAGAATTCTCAACAAGAAGAGCCTATTGCTGTATCGTTAGGTTGACTAAACTCAACCTAATTGACATAGCAGGACCAGGAGATATAAATGAGCAGGATATTGAGGAGTTACAGCAGGTTTCTGGTGAGACGACCTTCAGGAACTGGCAGAACATGGAATTCATGTGGAACTGGAAAATTGAGATTATGAAAACAAAGAACCCAAAGAATTTCTCTACAGATTTTCTTAGTAAAAGTTTAGTAAGATAACCGAAATCACTGATCAAATTGTAGCGAATGATCCAGATTTTGAAAGGAGTGCAAAAGCAAAACAAGGCATTTTGGATGCAATCTTCCGCTACCAACATTTGCTTAAGGAAAGAAAACAGCAACAAATGAAGCTTCATGACTTTATTGCAAAAGAACAAGAATTTCAGAAAAGTCAGGACCTTCCTCACAAAAAATGAACTTTACATTTCTGTGTGCCTGTTTGTGTGTTATTTAACATATTTTTATATTAATTTGTATAATAATATAACGAAGTAAAATTTGTTCCTTTTTAGTCACATGTTCTTCTATCCCTATTTACTCTATGTTAAAATGACCTTGTTTAACGCTGTTTCACTTAGTGCTGTTATCTAGGAACACATCCCCTGTGTTAAGCAGGGTCTTACTGTACTAAATTATAAATAAATTTTATTAATTATATTTTAGATTAAGAAAAAGATATTTCTAACTAATCAAACTTAAGGTGAAAGATTATCAAAAAAATAAGTAATTAGGAAAAAAGCTGGTATCCCAAAATGCATAGTTTAAGATAAAGGGTGGGTTAAAGTGTTACAAAATTTTTTTAATCTCTCAAAAAGAATACATGATACTGTATTTCATTGAAATTTTTTTTGGTATAATAATAATAAAGATTACCTTCCACATAACTGGTAGAGAAGAATAGGTTTTGTTACAGAACAGGTATTTTTATAAAAGTTTGTGTAAACAAATTTCACACAAACCTTTAAGAAAAAACACCATCAATTTTAGCACACTATTTTGTTGTTTATTTATTTGCAGGACTGCAGGAAATGTATGATTACTTAAAACACAATGTGTTTTATGATAAAAAAGCAAAAGTAACTTACTTTGATTTACATCAAATTTAGTTTTTCAGTGGTGTCACATACTATGTTTTGTACAAAAATGTGTCACCCCCATAGTTCCATTCCACACATACACAAAATACCAGTATGCTTCCTGTAGCAAAATCCATACACAAAAATTTCAACTAAATATCTTTTGTTTAAGAGATTAAAGAAATTTTTTGTAGCACCTCTCTATCTCTAAGCATTTGAGATAGATTAATTAGGGGGAAAAAGGTAGTTTTTTCCAATGTTCTATCACCTCTCAAAGTTAGGCCAATCTTACTAAAAGTACCCTGTACAGCAATTAAAATAATAAAAATAAAGATTACCTTCCACACAATTGGTAGAAAAGAATGCCAAATTTCTGGTTTCCAATGGATTCTCATTAGTTAATTCAGGAGAACGAGTCTGAGGTTCTGATTCTCCAGTCAGAGAAGAATTATCTACTTTACAAGATTGGGAAGAAATAACTCTTATATCAGCAGGTATTCTATCTCCACCTTTTACTTCAACAATATCTCCTACAACAACTTCTTCAGCAGGAAAGGTAAATTTTTGGCCTTCTCTGATAACAGTTGCATACTAAAAAATAATATATAAAGATTAAAATCTAAATTAAAACAACACTGCTTTCTTATAGGCAAGATTTAAAAATCAAAGTATCAAAAAGCTGAATGTAAAAAAAGTTTTTTAAATAGCTAAATTTTTACATAACATATAACAGGCAATTTAAATAATTGCATAATCACAATATACATATTTGCTAAAAATAGCTACTCATCTTGGAAATTGTTCTGTAACAAAAAATTATGATTTAAAATTAAATTTTTTATATTGTAATCATTCATGTAAACATTGTGCACATTTTGATGTTAACATTTAAATACAAATATTGATCTGACAAAGATAAGATTCTAAACTGATTATTTCTTTTTAATTTTAAAACATAATACTGTATATGATTTTTGCTTTAACAAAATATTTATTGAGCAAACTATTCACAAATTTAGAATTTCCAATTAATTATTATAAAAAATTGATAATATTTTTAGTCTACTTACTTGAGGAACCATATTTTTAAAAGATTCCATAATTTTTGAACTTCTTGCTTCTTGGTAATAAGAAAAACATCCAGTAACAATCACAACAGTGGATAAAACTATTCCTAGATATAACTAAAGAAATCAAATATTTTTAAATTATTTGTAAATGTATGTATTTCTCGAGAGAAATAATAAAAAAAACTTTATTCAGAATTTAAATATACTGCAAATATGATCATCAATAAATCACTTTTATAATATGAACTTCTAAATAATATTTATCCTTTCAGTACATGTTAAAATAGTCAAACTAAACGATTTTTTATTTGTTTACCAATTTCATATATTGCAATTTATATGATCAAATTTCGTAAGCAATAATCCTTACATAACTCTCATGAAATGAAAATAACTTCCATATTTTTCATAATTTGTACACTTAAAATCAAATACAACATCAAAAATTATTTTAATGACCAAACTAATGTTTTTGACAATGTTAATCAGTTATCAAGTTTTAAATATATTCAACAGAAAAATGTAAATTAGAATAACATTTTTTAAAAGATAAAACATTCTATAGGTTGCAGCCACATACATCACAGTGGATACACATGTATCAAAACAAATGTCTATATAAAGTTTGTGAATGTATGGCATCCATTAATGTAGACCAAAAAGAACCATCAAGCCAGTGAGATTGTCCTTGTAATAAATGACTGTTGCTATTTTAATTGCTTTATAAATTTTTATAGTTTTTCAAGCCGTTTCATACAGGTCAACTTCCAAGCAGAATACAAGATGTGAGCTTCCTTACGAGCAACATGAACATCTATGTGGCAAAAATTGCTAGTGCATTGTTTGTTAGACCCTTTCTAATGGAAGTCACATGTTCTTTGAGTTAAAAGCTTAATGGATGGGTAGTGGTGTCTATGTACTCTCAATTTTTGTTGAATTTGTTAATTACTTACTATAGGAACAAAATATACTCCATGAAGATGTCTTTTTGTCAGTTGGTGTTCCTGAGTAAGGTGTTATATAGAGGGGTTCCTTTTATATGCAATGTTAATTTGTTTAATTTCTTTGTGAACATCAACTTAGAGATTCAGAAAAAAATCACTAAATTCAAAACAATGGTATATTTTAAAATATCTGAATATAAGGAAAAGAGGTTTATTTCAAAAAACTTTCTGAACACTTATGGTTTTGAAATAAAATACTGTAAAATTTTTAAATGTATGAAAGTCATAGATGATGATTGAAAGTATAATTTAAGAATATGTAAATGAATATGAAAGATGTTTTATTTGTTTTAAATACAAGCACAGGGNCATGTCACGGGGTACGCTAATGAAAAAAGGTTGGGAACCACTGCTCTACTGTATTTCAAACCTACAACAGGATTAGGAAACTACTCTCAAGGAGTTATAAACAGCTGTGTTGTACATGTTCTAATAATGTAACTGTTACATTGATATCCTAAGAGAGCTACATATTAAAGTGGTAGAAAACAATAAGGGTTGAGCATGTTTGTATTCATATCTAGTAATAAAGTTGTGCTCCACATATAGTCTAATATCATTCCATCCACCAAGTTAAACAACAAAAGTAGATTAAGTGATTAACTTTCAGGCAACAGTATATGAAAATTTAACAACTTATTCTTCCATAAATAAAATATATTGGTTAAAGTTATTTTAATATCAGGAGGAAAAAAAACAATTTTAAAATAAAACAAGTATTTTTGTTTCTAGTGAGTAACAATTTAAATTTATAATTATTGTTAAAATTCAAATTTCTGTAAAATCAATATATTTTAATGACCTACCTATAACTCTTTCACCTAAGCCACCAAGTTCTAAATATGCATTATTAAATGCTTCTTTCATTTCTTCATCTAATACTTTTTCTTTATCATTAATGAATATTGTTGAGCATCTATCAAGCACCCTCTCTGGTGCACCTTTCATACAAAGAAGATAACTAGGGTCAGTAGTATCTTCTGTTTCATGAACAGTTACCTACAGAGAAATTATTTGGATAGATAATATTACGTATTCAAAAGATCATATGTAATATTATTATTGAAATAAATACTTACGTGATATTTATTTGTTGAATTGAAGGGAATTTCACAAACTTTAGGATTTCGCTGGCGATAAGCCATTACATTTGCTATTGCAAGTTCCATACATTTTAAGATAGCTGATTCAGAAGCATCACCAGTGCAATCTCTAACAAATGAACATTTTAAGTATGAATTAAAGTAAAAACAACAACAACAGTAACACCTTATATTAACCTTTTTAAGATGGGAATATTTTCTTGACCAGGTTTAAATTCTGCTCTACTACATAAACATGCTACACGAGATAATGCTTTCCAGCCAGGCGAAGTTTTGTCATACTGGAGTCCTAAAGTAAAATTTCCAATTTACATTCATTTAAAAGAAAAAAAACATTTTAAATAAATAGAATTACCAGACTGATCTTCTGTTGTATCTGCTTCTATAATTTGATTATCAAACCACATATGAGCTACAGTCATACGATTCTGAGTGAGAGTACCAGTTTTATCTGAACAAATAGTTGAAGTTGAACCTAAAGTTTCTACAGCCTCTAAATTTTTTACAAGGCAGTTCTTAGATGCCATACGTTTAGCAGTTAAAGTTAAGCATACCTAAAAACAATAAGAAGTACAATCCTTAATCCACAATTTAATTAAATTATACTTGAGATTAAAATAATACTTACTGTAACTGTTGCTAATAATCCTTCAGGTACATTTGCAACAATAATACCAATTAAGAAAATAACAGCATCAAGCCAGTAATATCCCAAAATAAATGCAATGACAAAAAATGAAACACCCAAAAATACAGCAACACCCGTGATAATGTGAATAAAATGAGCAATCTCTCTGGCAATTGGTGTATCACCCATTTCTAAACCAGATGCTAAATTAGCAATTCTACCCATAACAGTCCTATCTCCAGTATTGATAACAACTCCACGTGCAGCACCTGTAATAATAAACTTTATATTCTAATTGATAAATACATATTTAATATGGCTGAAGTTATAGTAGTACTAAATTCTGTGTGAAAAAATATAATACATTTTTAAATAAGCAGATCAAAACTTAGAAAGCATACAGCAATGTCAATATTCTTTGAAAGACAAATTATTATATATTAAGAGATTATGTTAATTCATTAGAGATTGCAGCCGAAGTTTTCATCTGTAAAATGTGAACTTTGAATGTCAAGTGCTGCTTACAAGATAGCGGTGCTCGATGTTCGATGTTGACGCTTTAAAGATGAAAACTTCAACCGCAACCTCGCTATTATCACTCAGTCTTAAGTTTTCATTTAATAAATATATCAAATTAACAACAAAAATTATGTTAACAACAATTACAATTATTATTGCAAAAATAGATTTGGCATTAACTTATCCTTAAGTCTGACATTAAACACAAACAATGATTTTATTTATACTGGAAACAAAACTGAACTAAGAAATTAAGTTGATATATAACTTCAGCAACAGAGAATGAAGTGAATTATTAAAGAGAAATAATGAAATCAGAAATTTTCAAATTATGACTATAGTCTTCGAATTTAACTGAAATCCACATTATATTATTGATAATTTATATTAAAACACAATAAAATTATATATATATTTGTTTAAGTTTGACCAGTTAGAAATATCTTTTTCTTAATCTAAAGAATAATAAAACTTTCTAAAAATTTATAATTTAGTATATATAAGACATGGGTAAATGCAGCTCTTGCTGAAAATGTTAATTTCTGCTTTTTATTATTATTTTTACAATTTTATTTCCACAATTTTATGAAAATATGTTTATTAAAAAAATTCAATATTTGTTTTATATTATATAATAAAATTGCAGTACAGAACTGTGGTACAGAATAAAGTAATACAGAACTCAGAACTGCGGCTCCTATGCATTTTGCAAAACCTACATTTCGGCTCCCACTGAACTTTTGCTTGTCCACCCTTGGTGTATATATATATATATATATACACACATATACATACATATATATACGGGGTCTTACTGTGAGTGTATACACACACACACACAGTAAGACCCTGTTTAGCACTGCCTCGCTTAACACATCTGCTCAAAGCCTACAAAAAGCTCAAAATTTACGCTGATTTAAATTATCACAGCATTTCATTGATTCGTACATAATACGATTATTTGTGAACACGAACCAATCAGCAAAAGGTGGCAAAAAGGTGTACTTTCTTTAAATCTATGTTTGTTTGATGCAATTTTGAAAAACTATATCATCATGGATGCAATAGGAAATATTGACTTTGCTTAGCAAGAATTAACTGATAAATGCACAGACAAAGTGTGGAAGATGTTTTGGCTGAAGGTATCCAAGAATTCTCAACAAGAAGAGCCTATTGCTGTATCGTTAGGTTGACTAAACTCAACCTAATTGACATAGCAGGACCAGGAGATATAAATGAGCAGGATATTGAGGAGTTACAGCAGGTTTCTGGTGAGACGACCTTCAGGAACTGGCAGAACATGGAATTCATGTGGAACTGGAAAATTGAGATTATGAAAACAAAGAACCCAAAGAATTTCTCTACAGATTTTCTTAGTAAAAGTTTAGTAAGATAACCGAAATCACTGATCAAATTGTAGCGAATGATCCAGATTTTGAAAGGAGTGCAAAAGCAAAACAAGGCATTTTGGATGCAATCTTCCGCTACCAACATTTGCTTAAGGAAAGAAAACAGCAACAAATGAAGCTTCATGACTTTATTGCAAAAGAACAAGAATTTCAGAAAAGTCAGGACCTTCCTCACAAAAAATGAACTTTACATTTCTGTGTGCCTGTTTGTGTGTTATTTAACATATTTTTATATTAATTTGTATAATAATATAACGAAGTAAAATTTGTTCCTTTTTAGTCACATGTTCTTCTATCCCTATTTACTCTATGTTAAAATGACCTTGTTTAACGCTGTTTCACTTAGTGCTGTTATCTAGGAACACATCCCCTGTGTTAAGCAGGGTCTTACTGTACTAAATTATAAATAAATTTTATTAATTATATTTTAGATTAAGAAAAAGATATTTCTAACTAATCAAACTTAAGGTGAAAGATTATCAAAAAAATAAGTAATTAGGAAAAAAGCTGGTATCCCAAAATGCATAGTTTAAGATAAAGGGTGGGTTAAAGTGTTACAAAATTTTTTTAATCTCTCAAAAAGAATACATGATACTGTATTTCATTGAAATTTTTTTTGGTATAATAATAATAAAGATTACCTTCCACATAACTGGTAGAGAAGAATAGGTTTTGTTACAGAACAGGTATTTTTATAAAAGTTTGTGTAAACAAATTTCACACAAACCTTTAAGAAAAAACACCATCAATTTTAGCACACTATTTTGTTGTTTATTTATTTGCAGGACTGCAGGAAATGTATGATTACTTAAAACACAATGTGTTTTATGATAAAAAAGCAAAAGTAACTTACTTTGATTTACATCAAATTTAGTTTTTCAGTGGTGTCACATACTATGTTTTGTACAAAAATGTGTCACCCCCATAGTTCCATTCCACACATACACAAAATACCAGTATGCTTCCTGTAGCAAAATCCATACACAAAAATTTCAACTAAATATCTTTTGTTTAAGAGATTAAAGAAATTTTTTGTAGCACCTCTCTATCTCTAAGCATTTGAGATAGATTAATTAGGGGGAAAAAGGTAGTTTTTTCCAATGTTCTATCACCTCTCAAAGTTAGGCCAATCTTACTAAAAGTACCCTGTACAGCAATTAAAATAATAAAAATAAAGATTACCTTCCACACAATTGGTAGAAAAGAATGCCAAATTTCTGGTTTCCAATGGATTCTCATTAGTTAATTCAGGAGAACGAGTCTGAGGTTCTGATTCTCCAGTCAGAGAAGAATTATCTACTTTACAAGATTGGGAAGAAATAACTCTTATATCAGCAGGTATTCTATCTCCACCTTTTACTTCAACAATATCTCCTACAACAACTTCTTCAGCAGGAAAGGTAAATTTTTGGCCTTCTCTGATAACAGTTGCATACTAAAAAATAATATATAAAGATTAAAATCTAAATTAAAACAACACTGCTTTCTTATAGGCAAGATTTAAAAATCAAAGTATCAAAAAGCTGAATGTAAAAAAAGTTTTTTAAATAGCTAAATTTTTACATAACATATAACAGGCAATTTAAATAATTGCATAATCACAATATACATATTTGCTAAAAATAGCTACTCATCTTGGAAATTGTTCTGTAACAAAAAATTATGATTTAAAATTAAATTTTTTATATTGTAATCATTCATGTAAACATTGTGCACATTTTGATGTTAACATTTAAATACAAATATTGATCTGACAAAGATAAGATTCTAAACTGATTATTTCTTTTTAATTTTAAAACATAATACTGTATATGATTTTTGCTTTAACAAAATATTTATTGAGCAAACTATTCACAAATTTAGAATTTCCAATTAATTATTATAAAAAATTGATAATATTTTTAGTCTACTTACTTGAGGAACCATATTTTTAAAAGATTCCATAATTTTTGAACTTCTTGCTTCTTGGTAATAAGAAAAACATCCAGTAACAATCACAACAGTGGATAAAACTATTCCTAGATATAACTAAAGAAATCAAATATTTTTAAATTATTTGTAAATGTATGTATTTCTCGAGAGAAATAATAAAAAAAACTTTATTCAGAATTTAAATATACTGCAAATATGATCATCAATAAATCACTTTTATAATATGAACTTCTAAATAATATTTATCCTTTCAGTACATGTTAAAATAGTCAAACTAAACGATTTTTTATTTGTTTACCAATTTCATATATTGCAATTTATATGATCAAATTTCGTAAGCAATAATCCTTACATAACTCTCATGAAATGAAAATAACTTCCATATTTTTCATAATTTGTACACTTAAAATCAAATACAACATCAAAAATTATTTTAATGACCAAACTAATGTTTTTGACAATGTTAATCAGTTATCAAGTTTTAAATATATTCAACAGAAAAATGTAAATTAGAATAACATTTTTTAAAAGATAAAACATTCTATAGGTTGCAGCCACATACATCACAGTGGATACACATGTATCAAAACAAATGTCTATATAAAGTTTGTGAATGTATGGCATCCATTAATGTAGACCAAAAAGAACCATCAAGCCAGTGAGATTGTCCTTGTAATAAATGACTGTTGCTATTTTAATTGCTTTATAAATTTTTATAGTTTTTCAAGCCGTTTCATACAGGTCAACTTCCAAGCAGAATACAAGATGTGAGCTTCCTTACGAGCAACATGAACATCTATGTGGCAAAAATTGCTAGTGCATTGTTTGTTAGACCCTTTCTAATGGAAGTCACATGTTCTTTGAGTTAAAAGCTTAATGGATGGGTAGTGGTGTCTATGTACTCTCAATTTTTGTTGAATTTGTTAATTACTTACTATAGGAACAAAATATACTCCATGAAGATGTCTTTTTGTCAGTTGGTGTTCCTGAGTAAGGTGTTATATAGAGGGGTTCCTTTTATATGCAATGTTAATTTGTTTAATTTCTTTGTGAACATCAACTTAGAGATTCAGAAAAAAATCACTAAATTCAAAACAATGGTATATTTTAAAATATCTGAATATAAGGAAAAGGGGTTTATTTCAAAAAACTTTCTGAACACTTATGGTTTTGAAATAAAATACTGTAAAATTTTTAAATGTATGAAAGTCATAGATGATGATTGAAAGTATAATTTAAGAATATGTAAATGAATATGAAAGATGTTTTATTTGTTTTAAATACAAGCACAGGGCTTTAGATGACAGGTGAGACTGAAAATAAATTGAAAAACTAGAATCTTTCAAAAAGTAACCATTTAGGTAATTTAAGCAGTATGTCCAGTACATCCAGCACATAGCAGCTACATAACAGTTGACATCATCAGACCATCATATCTACAATTTATGCCTGTCCAGCTATAAGATAAAACCCACTTTGCTAATCATTTTAAAATTTATACTGTCAGCAAATTATCAGATTATAATTATTGTGAAAAATCATGTAAACATTGTTCCACAATTGCTCAACTGTTGCATAACTGTTGAATGCACTGAATGTGTTTAATGCTATTTCAAAATCAATTTGGTGTAAGCAATTTGTGTTAGTAATATGCATGAAAAAGGAAACTACTAAAATTGATCTTAGTATTTTTATTCATTCTTATTTTTGTAAAATAAAATACATTCTCTCATTCCTTACACTGATTATTATTTCTACATAAGTTTACAAGACAAGTGAAAATAAGAATGAAACTAACATACCTAAACTAAACTAATAACCAACTAATGCAGATCAAAAGCAAACCAAACAAGTCTAATAATAAATCTAAATTAAACTGTTTTTCCTTGTTTTGAATTTATATAAAATTTTCTAATAATAATAATAATATTTTGTCTATTGATAAAACTGAATTAGATAAAACAGTTGCACAAGTTTTAATCTCAAGATTAATTGCACTTTAATCTACAGAATTATCCTCAAAAGGTTTCAAGTGTAATTCTTTGGGATAAACTGATGGCTAAGTTAACCAGCCAATTTTGAGTGGTTAAAATTTATTCTGTAGATTAGTGAAAAAACAAAATAGCAGACCAACTCTGATTCCAATGTGTATAACCTTGTTTAAACAGTCTGAATATAAGTTTATACTAATATTAACAATATTTTTCAAAAGGATCAAATCTTTTGTATAAGAATTGTAAATTTTAAAAAACTTTATTATGGTTTAAAGAGCTAATTTTACATTAAAAAGGTTCAATCCTCACTAAAACTGGGCAAAAATACACAAATAAAAACACTAACCTTGAAATTCTCCCAGCAGACAGAGAGAGTGAGAACACAAATGCTTTTGGTCTATGTCTAAGACCTACTCAGGTTACAATTTTCCAGAGATGGAATTTCTTCTGCACATTGTTTTGATGATCAAAAACAAAATGTGCAGAAGAACTCCAGAGAATTTCAAATTTAAAACCAAAGATTGATCAATGGGATGTGCTCAAGCATAGATGTAATGTGCTATTATAATGTCTCATCAAATAGGGCTTGCATTGCTTGGGAAATCTACTTTACCTCAAAGTTTAAAGGCAGTGGTTTGCCTCCCTTTATATGTATTTGATTTGTGCTCAGTTATACACTGTCTGAGAAAGCTCTCGATAGAACAAACTGAGCACAATTCAGATACAGGAAAAGGGAGGCAAACCACCACCCTCTCAATATACAGGTGACAATGAAATTCAACCTAATTTACAACAAGCAACTTTGATTAGAAATGGATCACCAAAGTACTGGAAGTGTTTGAAATTTTTAAAGCAGACATCAAGAATGGCATATAAACTTTAAGAAAAGCAATTTTCTAAGCAATGTAGACCCTATTTGATAAGACATTATAAAACCATATTACAACATTACGTTTGAGCACATTCCATTGGTCAACCTTTGGTTTTAAATTTGAATTTCTCTGGAGTTCTGCAAATTCTGTTTTTGAATATCAAAGCCTGTGGCATCCCATTTCTGGATAATTGTAACCTGAAGCAAATCTTAGATGTAGACTGAAAGTGTTTGCTTTTTTCTGGACTTTTCATCAGTCTGCTGAGCAGGTTTCAAGGTTAGTGTGTTTTTATTTATATAGTTTTACATTAGTTGTCAAGAGTAAATCTTACTTTATAAGAATCATCTCATTATAAAGTACATATATTAAAATACTGTAGATATTAATACCAAAAAACTTTAAATCCAGTAAAAATGGAATGTATTAACAGAACAAGATTCTTTTGGATTCTGTTTTTCAAATTTTAGATATCATCTACCAAATCTAATATATATTTTTGTCAAAATTCCCAATTTATTCTACGCTTTCATACAATCTTGTTTATTATTGCCCTTGGTAACAATAAGAATTTTTCAGCTAACTGGCTGTTAGTTAACTACCAAGTCAAAGTAATTTGTACAAAAAGCATAACTTATTCTATAGATTAATAAAAATGCTAAACTGGTTCCACATATAGTTATTTTTAGAAAATTCTTGGAAATTCCATAATCCTGCATTTGCAGGTGTATAGGAATGCTACTGGTATTTCAACAATCCAAAACTACGGTTTGTGTTTATTTTAGTTTATTACATACATAACTAGATGCATTTTGGGCCACCTTACATTTTACAGCCCCTCATCAGTAACTAAATTAAGGAGTTATATATGTACAAAATTAAACACAAAAATGATACTACTATTATGTTCAGTTTTATTATCTTATTTTGTACTGAATCAACAGTCTTATTAAAAATGAAAGTATGCAAATTTGATACACAACATATTTCACCAATACATACAGCAAATGATATGGAGTGATACAGTAAATTAGGTTATGGATGTTTTCTGCAATCATAATAGGCAATTAGTCTTTAAATCGTTTTTATGTTTAATTAATTTTGTACTTATATCTAGCTTTTAATTTTAGTTACTGATGAGGGACTGTAAAATGTAAGGCGACCCAAAATGCATCTAGTTATGTATGTAATCAACCAAAAAAAATAAAAACCGTATTTTTGTATCAAACTACTGGTATCATTCCTATACACCTGCAGATGCAAGATTACGGAATTTCCAAGAATTTCTAATTGGAATGTAGCTGGTATCCCAACAAGAAAGCAGTTATTTTATTGTTTAAATGGTTACTTTCACAACCAACCCTTAACAATATTGTATTTCTAAATGACACACAAATATTTTGTTTAAATTACTAAATACAAAGTAATAGTTAAACTTACATTATCATCTGGAGGTTCTTCAAATGTGCTAGCTTGAATAGAATATGCAATAAAACAAAGTACTGCTCCTATCCATAAAAGCAAAGAAAATCCACCAAATAGATTTTTACAGAATTTCACCCACTCGGGTATCTTTTTTGGTGGTGTTAAAGAATTTGGACCATCACGTTCATAGACTTCTTTCGCTTGCTGAGATGTCAAACCCTGTAATATTCACAGATAACATTTAGTATCAATATGTTAAATATAAAAGCAAAATTTAAAAAAAATTAACTTTAATTTTGAAATATCTTATATATCTGATAAATGGATTGAATTTATAGATACTTATATTAGAAAGTTTTAATTTCCCTTTATCATCTTTAATCAAAACTTTACTAGCTAATTTATAAAAATAAAGATATTATTGCACTTAATAAAAACAATTGCACCATATCTCAATTTTGCTAACAAATTTGCCTGAAATTTTTCCAAAAAGAATTTAGCAGCTTGCCTAATTTCTAAGAATTGCAATTTATTAAATTTGCATTTATTTATAGATTCAAATTATAATGAGGATTGCAATTTACATCATCTTACTGTTTGTGATTTTGAAATAATACAATCTTATACTACTAGTAGTATAAGTAAAGGCCACTTAATTCACTCAGAGTGGAAAGAGGCCTAAGAGTCCCTGATTACTAAACTCGACAAATAAATAAAAATCATATGCACAAGAATTAAATAAAAAAATGCACTTAATATTCATAAAAGAAAAAGTTGCCAATTCAAAAAAATGTAAAGATTGCATGATTAATATTTATAGATTGTCTATGTATTTTGATTGTATTGTACAAATACTAAAGTTATCCATGTAGTCTAATTCAGAAGTACAAGAAAACACTTCTCTCCTCAAATAATGTATACAAATTTCTGCTAAGAAAATTGTTATATTGGTCAAAATATTAGTCAAATTTTTCCTAGTTTTAAAGGGGAATAAAATAAAAATGTTCTCAACCTACATTAGAACCTCCACTTATATTTCAGTCTGACTAAAGTTTTTTTCAATTTCAATAATGTTGTAGAGTTAAACTGACATTAAAATTCAGCATGCTAAATACAAACCATATTGTGACTTATTATGCTGTAGCCTGCAAACTGAGGAAGGGAACTGTTTGGCATGACTGCAAACAGATTAGTCAATTGTTCAAAAACAATTGACTAAACTAAGTTAGCTGTTTTTATTGTATTCAACAGATTCTGCTAGTTTGATAACTTCCAGAAATTTTATTTTGATAACTTCCAGAAATTTTATTTTGATAACGCTCATATTACTCTTAGGAGTCTTTACTAATCAAAATACTGTCAAAATTTGGAAAACAGTTGATTAAAATTTACAAAAGTGGACAATAATGGAAATTATCCTTTTATGGTCTACAGTGTGTGTGTGAGAATTTTGTTTGCTTTATTTACATAAATAAATTAAAATTAATTTTATTTATATTATTTTTAGATTTTTAAAATCAAAGACAGTATTATTTCACAAATTGCAAAAATATTAAGAAGTCAGCTACAGATTTTCTAAGTCATTAATTAAAGAAGAAATTTGTTCTACATCTAAATAATAACTCAATCTGCATAGTTTTAGTTTTTATTCATCAGTATAACTAGGGACATATATTAATTTGAAATTCTTAATTAATTGAATGTTTTAAAGAAAAAGCTAGATTTAATTTTGGCTATGGTGGGATATTTAAGTCCTTTATTTTAAACTTTTTTGACTAAAAATTTTTTAAATAAAATTAATAAATAGCATCAATTATTTTCCCATTTGTAAGAGATAACTGAAATAACGGATTTCTTTAACACTATACAGGGTGTTTATAAATGAGTTGTGCAGTTTTAAAAATTAATAATAAATCTATTTATTACCTTATATGGGCAAACCTTACAGCATAAGCAGCAGCAACTGTCCAAGTTCATAGGAATGTACACAAGCTTCTTAATCGTGTTCTTCACCAACGCTGGATTGGATGTGGTGCAACAGCAGACAACAATCTGTTCCCCTGGCCACCCCATTTGCCAGATTTAACACCCTGCAATTTCTTTTTGTGGGGGTTTGTTAAAGACAGAGTTTATGTACCGTCAATGCCCATGTCCCTTGAGGAACTGTGTGATTGGATAAAGCATGCACTGCAGACCACCACAGAACATGCTACACCGTGTAAGGGAAGAATTTGATTACTGTGTAGATGTGTGTCATGTGACCATGGGTGCACATATTGAAGGATTGTGATTAATGCATAAAAAACTTGGACAATGCCACTGCTTATGCTGTAAGGTTTACCCATATAAGGTAATAAATAGAGTTAATAATAATTTTTAAAACCACACCATTCATTTATAAACATCCTGTATAGCTGCTATTATTATTATACAAAGAAAGTATTTATAAATAAGTCTTTTTGTACACTAATTCAAACTGATTTGTCTGTACAGATTAGTAATTACATATGTAAAAATTGATTAGTCAATATTAAAAAGAACATTTAAAGTAATTTGCTTGGTTTTTACACACACAGTCCTGTGTTAGATCTGAAAATATTAAAATAGTAGCATTTCTACACATGTATTTATGGACAGTGAGATACAGCTCTTTCTTGAAAATATAAAATACATTTGTGAGTAATGACGCAAAAAAATTCAATTATCTTTATAAGATTATTTTATGCTGTATAAATGGTTTTTTTAACAGCATAGCCATTATTCTATCATAACCATTTCTAATAACAGATGAGAAATGTAAAGAACCAGTACTAAAATTCTTAAAATTATATCCTTTAAGATCAGACTAAAAGGGATAAATGAAAATATAATTTTATTATTTAAAACGCAAAATTAAATTTTACAATGGGATNTGCAGTACAGAACTGTGGTACAGAATAAAGTAATACAGAACTCAGAACTGCGGCTCCTATGCATTTTGCAAAACCTACATTTCGGCTCCCACTGAACTTTTGCTTGTCCACCCTTGGTGTATATATATATATATATATACACACATATACATACATATATATACGGGGTCTTACTGTGAGTGTATACACACACACACACAGTAAGACCCTGTTTAGCACTGCCTCGCTTAACACATCTGCTCAAAGCCTACAAAAAGCTCAAAATTTACGCTGATTTAAATTATCACAGCATTTCATTGATTCGTACATAATACGATTATTTGTGAACACGAACCAATCAGCAAAAGGTGGCAAAAAGGTGTACTTTCTTTAAATCTATGTTTGTTTGATGCAATTTTGAAAAACTATATCATCATGGATGCAATAGGAAATATTGACTTTGCTTAGCAAGAATTAACTGATAAATGCACAGACAAAGTGTGGAAGATGTTTTGGCTGAAGGTATCCAAGAATTCTCAACAAGAAGAGCCTATTGCTGTATCGTTAGGTTGACTAAACTCAACCTAATTGACATAGCAGGACCAGGAGATATAAATGAGCAGGATATTGAGGAGTTACAGCAGGTTTCTGGTGAGACGACCTTCAGGAACTGGCAGAACATGGAATTCATGTGGAACTGGAAAATTGAGATTATGAAAACAAAGAACCCAAAGAATTTCTCTACAGATTTTCTTAGTAAAAGTTTAGTAAGATAACCGAAATCACTGATCAAATTGTAGCGAATGATCCAGATTTTGAAAGGAGTGCAAAAGCAAAACAAGGCATTTTGGATGCAATCTTCCGCTACCAACATTTGCTTAAGGAAAGAAAACAGCAACAAATGAAGCTTCATGACTTTATTGCAAAAGAACAAGAATTTCAGAAAAGTCAGGACCTTCCTCACAAAAAATGAACTTTACATTTCTGTGTGCCTGTTTGTGTGTTATTTAACATATTTTTATATTAATTTGTATAATAATATAACGAAGTAAAATTTGTTCCTTTTTAGTCACATGTTCTTCTATCCCTATTTACTCTATGTTAAAATGACCTTGTTTAACGCTGTTTCACTTAGTGCTGTTATCTAGGAACACATCCCCTGTGTTAAGCAGGGTCTTACTGTACTAAATTATAAATAAATTTTATTAATTATATTTTAGATTAAGAAAAAGATATTTCTAACTAATCAAACTTAAGGTGAAAGATTATCAAAAAAATAAGTAATTAGGAAAAAAGCTGGTATCCCAAAATGCATAGTTTAAGATAAAGGGTGGGTTAAAGTGTTACAAAATTTTTTTAATCTCTCAAAAAGAATACATGATACTGTATTTCATTGAAATTTTTTTTGGTATAATAATAATAAAGATTACCTTCCACATAACTGGTAGAGAAGAATAGGTTTTGTTACAGAACAGGTATTTTTATAAAAGTTTGTGTAAACAAATTTCACACAAACCTTTAAGAAAAAACACCATCAATTTTAGCACACTATTTTGTTGTTTATTTATTTGCAGGACTGCAGGAAATGTATGATTACTTAAAACACAATGTGTTTTATGATAAAAAAGCAAAAGTAACTTACTTTGATTTACATCAAATTTAGTTTTTCAGTGGTGTCACATACTATGTTTTGTACAAAAATGTGTCACCCCCATAGTTCCATTCCACACATACACAAAATACCAGTATGCTTCCTGTAGCAAAATCCATACACAAAAATTTCAACTAAATATCTTTTGTTTAAGAGATTAAAGAAATTTTTTGTAGCACCTCTCTATCTCTAAGCATTTGAGATAGATTAATTAGGGGGAAAAAGGTAGTTTTTTCCAATGTTCTATCACCTCTCAAAGTTAGGCCAATCTTACTAAAAGTACCCTGTACAGCAATTAAAATAATAAAAATAAAGATTACCTTCCACACAATTGGTAGAAAAGAATGCCAAATTTCTGGTTTCCAATGGATTCTCATTAGTTAATTCAGGAGAACGAGTCTGAGGTTCTGATTCTCCAGTCAGAGAAGAATTATCTACTTTACAAGATTGGGAAGAAATAACTCTTATATCAGCAGGTATTCTATCTCCACCTTTTACTTCAACAATATCTCCTACAACAACTTCTTCAGCAGGAAAGGTAAATTTTTGGCCTTCTCTGATAACAGTTGCATACTAAAAAATAATATATAAAGATTAAAATCTAAATTAAAACAACACTGCTTTCTTATAGGCAAGATTTAAAAATCAAAGTATCAAAAAGC